TTGTTTTTCGACTTCTGAACGAATCGTTTGGGATATCGTCCATGAGTCATAATCATTCTAAAGAGCACTTCTACCTCTTCTTCAAGTACAAATGAGAACACAGGGCTTGGAACTACTACTCGGGTTCCCTATGGTTGATAGGGAAGAACCAACATTACGAAACTTCTGAACTAGCGGTTCAGATGTCGTAAACGCGGTTTCAGCATTTGATAGAGCACATTGAATCCTAGTTTGAACACAAATGAGAACACTTGGAAGGCTTCCTAAGCGAATGTGACCTGAATTCACTCGAATCCATTACTAACAGAGCCTTGCTAAAGTTCAATCATTCTCTAACATTACGGCGCTGGTGACTATTCTAATCTAATAGTCCTTTACATATGAACATCATATTATGTTAGCAGAGAGAATCACTCAGAAATGCTCCCTCGTCACCTTATGTAGTATTGTTGTTGTATTACAGTAATTCTTTTTTTGCCAACCAAAGTCTTGAGAAGTTCTGTATGAAATGAATAGTAGACATCAAGTATTGTAATGCGGGTGTGGGTGGATCCGGATCTTGGTCTAGGTGGAGATTAAAACATTTACATACACCCTAAACCACACGCACGCTCACATATCATCCTTGGAGTTTTTACTCGGTTTTTCTTTGAGTATGCTTCGTGTCTACGCCTAGGGACAAATTTAGCAAACATTTTTGTTGAACTGTGAAAGCTACACTCTGTAATTGTGCGTCAAGACTCTTTGATTAAAAATCTAGAATTAAATAAATGTTAGTCTTGATGAATTTTCAGAGATTTCTCTGTTTTGCACCGCATTTTTCCAGTTTCTGAAAAGTTACGGGCAACTTTTTTTAGCATTTTGTCTTGGAGCAAGGTTTTAGTTTGTGTGAATGCCACTAAATGTTATTATACAAGGGTGTGTAGGTGTGGGTGTTATTACTAGTTTCACATCCACATTCAAATTAATCCTCATTTTTATTACTAATTCAACATTTTCTCCATGTTTTCAATCATATTTTTATAGAATTCAAGCTTACAACTTTGACTGCAAATGAGTTCTGAGCTTTTGTTTTGAGCATATCTCAACCTGCTCCAAATTTTTCCTGACTAAAATCGAATATTTTTTACTTGAGACTTTGGGCGCGGTCAGGTCTCATTGCCATTTGATTTTATTAAAAATTTTAGTTAAACTGAGCAGTTGTTCGAAAAATTGATATTTCAAGCAGATCAAATGTGTCTGCTTTTCTAAAATAAAAACATGACTTATCAAAGAATTTAACAGATTAAGATGGAAAGATATGCTTTTGTGAGAATATTTGGGACGTTCTAGTAGCGATGAGACCTATTTTGTATGCTAACGTTTATATCAAAAACAATTCACTCCCTTGTTCGATATGCTTTCGAACAGTTCGAGAAGTGTTAATGATGAAATGGCTATAGTCGTCATAGAAAAACTATTTTCAACTCGGAGAGCTTATTTCACCAATTCAACGCTAATACTACATTTGCTTCCTAACATTCAGAAATAAATTATGCATCTGTTCTATGTTTTTATTTTAGAAAAGTGGATATTGAACAGGTATTCTCAGGACTTCGAATGTTCGCCGGTCGATATTCACGAAGCCTTCTCATGGCGATCATCCTCTTATGGATTTTTGAATCATTCAAAAATTTTAATGACAAACCTATGGTGAAAAGCAACAAAGGTTAGTCAAATCTCTTTTTCAGTAAAACCATAGACCCTATTTTATATATAATCAATATTATAAAAGATGAACAACTAGTATGAGAAGATAGAAACAATAGGAACTTTAGTTTTTCGGTAACAGAAACATATAGTAAAGAATTTCTGATCAGAAAAACGAATGAATAATCTTTCACAGATATATTGCATTCTAGGAAGCTCGAAGCATTGAATTTATTTGAGGGAAATTTTCATTGTTTCAAATCAATCTTTTATCTTGCAGTTTAGAAAAAGGCAGTCATCAAAAAAAAATATTATCTTTCATTCTCATTGCGATAATCATAATCTTTTAATAAATTTGGAAAATGACTCAGTTAAAACTAATCAATAACATCATTGGGTGGACGTGGGTATGGATTTAGTCTTTTCTCACATCCACACGATCTAATTCAGTACATGAAAATAAATAAAGAATATGATCAGAAAAAGAAAAAAATAACGAACTTTAACATAATATGTTCACAGCGGTGTTTTCTTCAAATATATAAAAGAGAAACAGGAGAAAGCGAAATATAAATAGAGTTAATTTAGAAATAGATAAGGTCATACTACGAATGAATTAGTTGATAAATGTTCATCATCATATCATTTTGATTTGTTTGTTGAATATCGTTTTATTTCATCGATCGATTGCTCATTACAAAGAGAATATTCATGGTTAGATGATTATAAATTTCATTTCTTTTATCGTTAGTTTATTTAAATGATAATCATAGTCAGTGGATTGTCTAAGATGAGCAATGTTTCAGCCTTACTCAAGTTTGGCGTCTGTAGGCTCAGTCTCATGTGAATTACTGATGTGAGACTCGATCACGCCGATATTTAGCTTTGCTTGCAAAAGGAAATCTCGTTTAATTGCGAAGCTTTGAATTTTCTTGAAGCTATGTTTAAGCTATAATAAAAAGAACTATAAAACTGAGCTAAGAGTAAAGTCACTAACTGTTTGGTCATGACTCATAGTAACAACCTTTATTATATGTGCATATGGCGTGTTACATCTTGTTTCATGTGAAATAAGCAAATCGTGGAATTATATGATCGATCTATCAGAAAACAATAATAACTAAATATAAAGTGATAAAAGTTCATTTTCACTGATTTGAATACCTAGTTCTCCTAGTTTTAGAATGCATTTGACATAATGAGCCTGCTGAGACTGCAGAAAATTATTAAATTATTCTTTTCAGTGAAGATATAACTTCACGTTTATATAAATATTCATCAAATAAAGAATTCTTTCTTTCCAGAATAGAAACACTACTAGAGTTTAAAGTATAAACAGTAAATAGCATCGAAATAATTTCTGGATAACTTCATGAATATTTTACGAAAAACTCAAACGTCTTCTCTTTCTACAGAATATTGTACAGAATAAATTGCTTTAATAAAGGTAATTGATCGTCCAACAAGTTCAAACAGAAATACTTACTCCAAATGCCGATTTGTACTTTTGTAATTAGAACCCTGCTCCGCACTCCAAAACCTGGCGGTCACTTTTACCAAGTCATGTAAATAAATTCTTTAAAGTCGAAATCCAGCTAGAAGTGAAAAGATTAATTTTATAAGTAATTGTTGTAAAAAAGTTAAAGCACGTGGAAAAGTTCAGAAATGTTAAAAAAATAACGAGAATTTTGAATACATTTATAAAATGACTTTTTCGTTGAAAAATCAGAATAAAAAGCGATTAATTGTGAAAAAACTATGAATAAGATGTATTAGAATGTTAATAACTTGTGATCAGCTGACGATTTTAATATTGATATTTGCAAGGATTATTGAACTTTGATTAATAATTATGATGTACTGCTGGCAATGAAAATTCTAAAAGTTTTACATTTCAAACAATTAAAATAGCAGATCTTTATCTATTTCCTATCAAAAGTTATTTCAAAAATGCTCACCCTTCTGTTATTTTTAAATGCATATTAGTATAAAGAATCTGAATCGAGGTTTTAATATAAAAATTTATTTTAACAAGAACTGCTGATTAACAATGTCTCCACAATATTGCAAGATATCCAAAATCGCTAGAAAACCTAAAATTTAGCTTGTCACAGCCCATTACTGGAGTAAAATTTCTTTTGATAACAGGTAGCAACGAAGTTACTAAGTGTTTTTCGTTATATCAAAACGTAAGTTTGTACTGAAAGGACTTAGCATTTTTAAAGATTAATGCAATACAGCCAAAGACATGTCATTTCGTCGGGAATCAGTTGCTTTGCTACTCTGCATGATTGAAGAAAATTTTTTATTTCCGATTTCAGGATGCTGAAAAGCAAGTCTTGATGTTCCCAGAGATCTTTGATGTGAACAATATTTTAAAGAGCTTATTTCTCTCAAATCGTTGTTGCAAACAGTCTTCGATATTCGAATTTCTTTTTAGATTCTTTATACAAGTTACCATTAGGGAAAATCTTGTCAACAATCAATAGATGATCATGTAAAAAAAAAAGATCCCTGATGGATTATACTGATATGGTATTCTGTAATAGTAGAACTTATGTACAAAGCTAATATGATCTGAAACCAAAATCGAATTTTAGAATGCTTTTTTAATAACTCACGAATAGACAGATTTGGTTATCTATGTTGTGAAGTATTTGAACTTGAAACTCATCCTGATGAGTATTCGTGTAGATCTGGTTGATATACATTCTTCAGACGCACAATGCATCTCTCAGCAAATTAAAAAACCCTTTTCATATTGAGTTTTAGTTTACAAAAATTACTCTTGTATTTCGTCGAACTTTCTAAATCTTTTTGAAAATGTTTAGAAACAATGCCGATACAGAACGGAATTGAAGAGAACAGTATTTTTCATGAAAATGTTCAAAACCAAGTAGTCTGAAACGGTTTATCACCTAAATTTCGTAAATTCATCTCACATTTATTAACGAGAACTTATTTTAGGCTTAAAAATATACTTTGCTGAGTCTCACTCAATTTCGAAACATTCCATAGCCTCTGATTTTATTCTTTACTTAAAATAAAAAAAATTTGCCTTTAACATATAACTTGTTTAACTTTATCACAGTAGATGCAGTGATATGTGTCTAACACTACTGCTACCATAACTATTTAAATTCAAACAAATGCTACATTTTCCCGATAGACTTGTTTGGATAGGTCTCATTGGCTTTTTTAGTTTCGATTTTATGTAGTTAGTATTTTGAATATATATTTTGATATGTAGAGAATATGTTAAAATAATAGGTAATGTAATACCTCGTTTTGCCAATTATATACAAGATCATATGATGCTACAACGAGCTCCACAAAGAGCTATTATTTGGGGATTTGGAGAACCAAGCAAATTAACTACACTTCAAATAAAGAATAAAACTTACACAACTATTAGTCGAGCAGAACTAGAAAATGATTCAGGTGAAAGTATGTGGTCCATTGTACTAGATCCAATTTCTGACGAGGGACCATATGATATTCATGTTACACAAAAATTAGCTAATGGTTCACTCTTTACTATATCACTTCATGATGTATTGTTTGGTGATGTATGGATATGTTCAGGACAATCTAATATGCAAATGGCAGTCATAGATATTTTTAATGCAACAGAAGAAATAAATAATGCTGGCAAATATCCTAAAATTCGAGTATTTACAGTTGCATCAAAACTATCTCATACACCTGTAGAAGAATTACTTGGTATTACTCAGAATTGGTCTGTTGCATCACTACAAAGTATTGGTGGACCATCATATACTTATATGTCAGCTGTATGTTGGCTTTATGGTCGTATGATTCATGAATCACTAGATGGTCGACCTATTGGACTTATAGCTACTAGTTTTGGTGCTGCAGCTATTGAGTTGTGGATGCCACCTGAAGTTGTGCAAGATTGTGGAATTTCATTGTATGTTTATAAAGACTTTTATTCATGTCATAGTTTTATCTTTACAAAATAGAAATAACACAATACTATTACCAATATATGGTCAGTCTGTAACATGGGTAAATGTTAGTAATTCTTATGTGTTCAATACAATGATTTATCCATTTACACGTATGGTTATTTATGGTACTATTTGGTATCAAGGTAATAGAAAACCAAAAGATTTATTCATTACTCAATCGTACAGTTAATTAGGTGAAGCCAATGGTGGTTATCACACCGATAAATATGCTTGTACATTTGCAAAAATGATTCAATATTGGAGACAAACATGGAATTACCGCACAGGTAATTTAACTGATCTTTACTTTCCATTCGGTTTTGTTCAAGTAAGTTTATTTTCATTAATGAACATAAATAACGATCATATACATTTTCTCTATGTAGTTATCAACATGGTCAAATACAAGTACATTAATTGATGCTTTTACCATTCTTCGATGGCATCAAACATTTGATGTTGGCTATGTACCAAATAATGTTGTTCCTAAAGTATTTATGGCTGTTACTTTAGATCTACGTGATGATCCTAACAGGTAAGTTCAATTGAATCATAAAGAAATACTTTCAAATGGGTATATACTACATATATATATACTTTTAGTTATCATCCTCGAAACAAGCATGATGTTGCCTATCGATTATCACGTTCAGGTCTAGCTGTTGCTTATAATCAACAAGTGGAATTTCAAGGTCCTATTGTATCAAGTGTCAGTTACTCCAATGGTAGTACAACGGTAAATATCACTTATATGGCTGTACAAGATATTGATTTACGAAATTCAAATGGATTTGAAGTTTGTTGTAAAGGTTCTAAATGTCACGATGATAGCTTATGGGTACCAGCAACTATATCTAGCAAAAATGCTTTGACTATTACATTAACACTATCAAGTTCATGTATTGGACAGTCATTATTTGGTCTTCGTTATTTATGGCGTACAACACCATGTCCATTTAAACAAGCGCTTCTGTACAGTTACACAGATCGCAATTTACCCTCACCACCCTATTTGAAATTTTTCTAAAAACTGAAATATTATTTTTCTGACTGTACCACAAGAATACTCTTTCATTCTTTGGTCCATTGAGCATTATACAATGATTATCATTTAATAAATTTATATTAATAACTTGAAAAAGTAAAGAAACAAAGGCATCATCTCAAATATGGCTCCTATATTGAACGAAACCAAAACCATTGGTTAATTATTCTGTGATTAAAAGTTTATTTTAACTGTCTGAAAGCATCATAAAACGTATCAAAACAACAAAAAAAAATATTCAATTGATTGACATCAATATATTCTCGGGTGTAGGTGGGTGTGGATGTGGCTGTTCGTTTTTATTCCATACCCACACCCCACACGCACACCCACACTCACACGCGCCCACTCCCATATCCATACCCCACACTCACACGCCACACACACACCCACACTCACACGCGCCCACTCCCATATCCATACCTCACACTCACACCCACATCCAAACCCACACCCCACCCACACGCACACCCACACCCACACCCTTAATTCTAGCACGTATCGAAACCGGTCTTGCTAGCTATTGATTGATTTCTTTAAAATCATTCTATTCAAACACGCCCTTGAGAGTAGCAGATTGATTTGTCTTTTCGTTAAGAGATAGGTTGATCTGTTTCCCATTGATTTACATTCTTTATTTGAATGAATCATTTTCTTTCGTCTTCTAATGCAAATGGTGGACATTTCATATGGATGTTTTCTTTTGTATGAATGATCTGCCGAGAAAATTTTTCATGTGAAAAGTCTTCTTTCAAAGCAGCAAAACAAAAGATAACGTTATCTCACGTTTTCACCAGGTTGTCATATACAAAATGTAAATTTATCGTAACACGTCCTATCAAGAAATCTCACGTTTTAACCAGGTTGTCATATACAAAATGTAAATTTATCATAACACCTCCTATCAAGAAGTATCCCATTACCCAGCTCATTATTTTTTTTTGTAATATAGATATGATATTAATCCAAAAAGCTTCTTTTTCATTTTAAACTACGTAGTACTGCGTTGCTGGTGCAATCAAATTCTCGAAAACGGAAATTTCGTACACATCATAACTTATCAATTATAACAGAAAAGTAAATGTCGTGGAGTTACTCGTCATATGTTGAAGCTGACACTTTGATTTCGGCTGCTATTCTCGTTGTTATAACAATAGCCGTATTATTAATCTATCGTTTAGAAAGAGGCAAACAATTTGTCATCCGATGGATCATAGGTATTGAAACACAGGAAGCAGTTGGTGAAGACGATGGTGCTGGGAAAGATCAGGGCATTCAAATTGTTACTCCGACAGAGAAAGATCACGTGCGATGGGTTGCCTGGCCATTCGCTGCTCTTGCTGCAATGATACTTTCTTTTACGGTAATGACATTTTTTCAAGGATGCTTTCTAGCCAATGCTAGACTTTTTCCAAACGATGAATGCCCCGATTATCCAATGGATTGTTTCGTTAGTAACAGAACTCATAGAATACGTTTCCATTGTACTCCTTCCCGTGAAGCTGTATTTCCCGGAAATATAACTAATCAAATTGCGTGGTGCTTTGGGTGGGTAATCAATCTTCAAACAACTAAAAGTATTTTGGATCAATTGGGTGTGTGCACTGGTCTCATGGGTCTATTTACAACAGTTTTGGCTATAATTGTTTATCTTGGCAAATCCATGATCACACTATTTCTTTCGTTGATATTGTTTGCATCCGGGACGGTTGCTATTGTCATTTCGTTAGAATACGAATGGTCACATTCACCATTAACATTTTACATACTTTTTCTTGGTATGTCATTAGGAATCTTTGGAATAGTGCTTTACAGAGTTCTACCTGAAAGGAAGAATGACGGATTAGTAACTAAATCCGATACAAATCCGAAAACGAATAACTCAAATGCACCACCTACAAACGTGCCTTCTTCTAATACTAAAACTTCGTCAAGGACTTCGAAAGTCACTCCCAAACCGGTAGAACGTGGTCACATTGAATTAGAAACGATTTCAGTCTAATAATATAAATTGCAATAGACGTCAAGACATGACAACTATCAATACGCTATAAACGAATCCACAAAAATTTAAAAAACATGACACTATGTATTTCGTTCTCATTTATAGATTTCATCGGGTATTTTTTTTTTGTAATCTATTATTAAATTTATTCATATGTATATTGATTTTTGAATATGTCACAATGGATTTAATTTAAATGAAATATTTTACATCATTATTCCAAAAATTGTGGAAAATGAGTTCAGGGATAAACTAGACATAATAATTTATAACCTATAAAGCGATTAAGCTGAATATTCTTCGATGAGACAATGTGTTTATTGAAAGATTCTATCTCATTTTATAAATAATCGATCGTTTTTAGACGTAAATGCTTGGTTTCCTTCTGGTTTCTTATTTCTTTTTATACATGGAATGATAACTACAGACATACTTTAATAAGGAGAAAACAAGAAGCGTAAGGATGACGGTGTGGGCTGTGAGGGTGTGACAAACTACGATGACGCGTTTCGATATTGCTTAAGGATCTCATCAGATGCCAAATAATTCTTGTGATTCTTAATTAAATTTAAGTAACCATACAAGAATTATTTCCCATCTGTTGAGTCCCTTAAGCAAGGACGAAACACGTGTCGTATGATGCCTGCAATCTCAAAAAATTCTAATTATTAATTTAATCGGATTTTCGTAGTACGGTTTATGCTATTACTACTTCAGTATTTGGAGAGTTCTAGTTATATGTACTATAGATTGTGAACATGCCCGTCGAGTCCCTTAACCAAGGACGAAACACATGTCGTATGATGCTTGCAATCTCAAAAACTTCTAATTTTCTTATCGAAACCGGTCTTGCTAGCCTTTTTTGGTTGTATTTTCAACTTACAATATTTTCAACTTTACAATAGTTGTCGGAGAATCTCTTTTAAAATTTTGTTGGGTTGTTACTTTCTAACTTGAGGGTGTGGGTGTGGGTG